TAACTAAGGATTCTCTTAATAATTTTAAGTTAGGGATAAAAAATTAAAAATTGATTGATACATTTAGTTTTAAGAAGTTGCAATGTATTTAATTAAAGAAAATAGAGCCCATGTTGCATAATTATATGCTGCTATTGTATTAAATCTGTTTGATCAGCTTTTAAAAATAAGTGTTTTTTAATTATTATTCATTCACATAACAGCAGTAATTTATATTTTCTTAATTAAACTTTTTTGTTTCTAAAGACAGATTATCATGCTGTCCGGTAACCATAAATTATGCAAATAAAACTAATCCAGTCGATATAGACAGATATCACTAAAATACAACTAATTAAAAAATTACAAAAATACATTTAAAAATTGTTATTTGATTTAATAACAATGTTGCTATTTCATTCAGTTTCTCTATGGTTTACTTTTCTCACTTACAAACTTAAAATACAGTATTTTAAATTTTCCTATAATTCTTCTCCATATACACTCATGTCCATAAATTAAGGATAATTCGGAGTCACGCGGAAATCGAACTCTAAAATTAATATATCACCTGTAAAATCACTACACACATCTTCAAGAATCATATGCAAATTTCAGGAAGTAACCAGATGACACCGATGGTACGTCACAATGACGAGAGTGTAAAAGAGTGATATACAAGGGCTATCCAGAAAGTAGATTACGTTTTGGAATAAAAAAATAAACAAAGTATAGGAAACAAATTTTATTATATACAGATGAAAGCCACACTCAAATACTACTTTTCTACATAGTCACCATACAAATTAAGGCATTTATCGTAGCGATGTACGAGCTTGGAAATTCCTTCGTCGAAAAATTCGGCCGCGCTGCGCCTTCAACCACTTCGTTACCTCTTCTTGCAGCTGTGCGTCGTCATCAAAACGCTGCATAGCCAGCCACTTCTTCATTGCTGGGAATAGGTGGAAGTCGCTCGGTGCCAGGTCGGGACTGTACGGCAGATGAGGAGGAAACAACTCCCACTTAAAAGATTCAAGAACTTTACGAGTGACATTTGCCGTGTGGGGCCGGGCGTTGTCGTGAATCAAACAAGATCTTAGAGCTCAACATTCCTCTGCGCTTGTTTTGAATTGCTCTTCTGAGTTTTTGGAGAGTTTGGAATACCTTTGAGAGTTTATTGTAGTGCCTCTTTCCAGGAAGTCCACCAAAATTACACCTTTTCTGTCCCAAAAAAAAACAGTCGCCATCATCTTCCTTGCCGACATTGTTTGCATGCATTCTTGGGTTTTTGGGGAGAACTTGTGCCCCCACTGCATTGATTGCAATTTCGTTTCACAGTTCACATGTTTCACCTATGTTTCGTCACCAGTAACGATGCGATCGAGTAGTAAGAGTCACCATCCTTATGGTAAGCGTCCAAAAAGTTCAACGCGCTGCAGCCATTCGCTGATTTTTGTGTGGTCCTCTGTCAAGATTTTTGGAATCCATCTTGCACAAAACTTGTGGTAACCAAGCTTTTCGCTGATGATTTTGTGCAACAAACTTCGCGAAATTTGTGGAAAACTCAAAGAAAGTTCCGTTATTGTGAAATTTCGATTTTCACGGACTTTAGCATCGACTTTTTCGAGAAGTTCGGCGGTCACTATGCTGGGTCTCCCACTTCGATCTTCGTCGTGAACATTGGTTCGGCCATTTTGAAATCTTATGACCCACTGACGCACTCCACCTTCAGTGATAATGTTGTCCCCATACACTTCACGAAGCTGCCGATAGATTTCTATCGGTTTACAGTTTTTTGCAGTCAGAAACCTTATTACTGAGCGCACCTCGCAGCTCGCGGGATTTTCAATTAACGCAGACATTTCAAACCGTCACAGTATCCGAACGGAGCACAGCACGAACCTCTCACTAGCACGGCTAGATGCAGACTGAGCTGCGCAACGCTCTGACCCCAAGATGGCCGCGCTAGCCCCGCCCCTAGCGGACACAGACGGAAACGTAATCTACTTCCTGGATGGCCCTCGTATAAGGAATACAGGCAAAGAAGTAAAATTGTTCGCAGGTGCTTTATAAGCATTTCAGTGTAATAACCGAATAGTTATGACACAAAGGACGAATTTGGATGATTTTTTACGTGATAGAATTATCCGCCGTCTGGAATGTGGGCGTACCCAACTGGAAGTATCAGACAAACTTGGAATTGCCCAGAGTGTCATCTCCAGGCTTTGGCAACGATTCCAAGATGATGGTAATGTGAGTAGATTTTACAGCACAGGTCGCCCCAGAGTTACAACGCCGAATGAGGACCGGTATTCGGCAGTTACTGCCAAAAGAAGCAGGCGGAACACAGCCTCAGACCTGTCTCGTCAGCTCTCTTCAGCCACTGGTATGACAATTTCAAGGCAGACCATGTACAGACACTTAGAGCAGATTGGTCTATATGCTCGTAGACCTGTCAGATGCGTTCCACTTACTGCAACTCACTGTAGCCTGCGGTTAGCCTGGAGTAGAGAGCATGCATTGTGGACACAGCAACAGTGGGCTTGTGGGATATTTTCCAACGAGTCCAGTTTTAGCTTGCAGTCTGATTATCGCCGGACTTTCATATGGAGAGCTCCAGGTACCCGTTACCACCAAGAAAACATCATTAAACGACACCGTTACGGTGGTGCAAGAGTGCTCGTTTGGGGTGGAATTATTCTGGGTTCCAGAACTCGCCTGCATATTCAAATTGGAACCATGACAAGCCAAATCTATAGGGACGTCATTCTGGAACAACATGTACGTTTGTTTCGGGGCGCTATGGGCGCACAATTTGTGTTTATGGATGACAACACCCGTCCTCACCGTGCAAACATCGTAAGCGAGTGCCTTCAATCGGAGGATGCTTGGCCGACGAGTTGCAGCCCGTCAACCTCCTCCTACATGTCTACCGGAACTTCGGAGAGCATTGCGTTTTGAGTGGTGTAATATCCCCCAAGATCAGATCGATAATTTGATACTCAGCATGCCTAGGCATTGTATGAACTGTATTGCATCGTCTGGGAGACATACAATGTATTAACAATCATACCAACCATGTAATATTGGTTTTTTGTAAATAGTTTTTTTTTTTTTTTTTTAATTTGCTCCAGGGAGAAAAAAATCGCTAATTTTTTTAATAATATCAAACATATAGCATCTTTTTTTGCTCTTTACCTTTTGTTTAATAAATAAGCTTTAGTTAAATTTGTTTTGCTTCTAACTCTTCCTTTGCCTGATTTTGCATTATCCTTAATTTATGGACATGAGTGTAGTTTAAACAGAAATGAAGGGTAGTCTTAAAATAAACTGCCTTAATATAATTAAATCTCATTTTAATGTGCACAATGATTAGATTATGGTTTAAAAAAAGCACATGAAGCTTAATTTTTTGTCAGCATAGGGTTTATTTTAAGATGTAATATAGCACAAACAAAATTTCTGTAGTATATTTGAGATCAGACTTTTAGAGATACTCATGGGTGGCTTTAAAAAACACATTTATAATTATACAGATGTAAAGTGGCTTAGACAGCAGAGCACATACCTAACCTGAGTTTTGGACTACTATTAATTTAAAAATATACAAAATCACTAAATGTTACTTGCAATGTAGAATAATTGTGACTTACTAGCCCATAAATATGTCTCTGCAGATGTTCTCTAAAATTAATTTTCAAACTATATGTTCAAGTATATATATGAGAAAATTTTTCACTTGCTAACATAATATTTTCAGGCTTTCTTTTAATATAATCAAACCTAGCTACCTTTTCTATAAACTTTTAATCTTATATTATATTACTGCATTGAACTCCTGAACATCTGAAAATCTGATATAACAAATTTATGGCTATTTTTCATTGAAACTTTTTTTATTTTTTATTTTTCATAATCTTTTCCAGAATTTTCAGAAGTTTTAGCTGAAAAATTACTAATTCTTAGAAGCACAATAAAAAAAAAAAAAAAAAAAAAAAAAAAAAAAAAAAAAAAAAAAAAAAAAAACCATCTTTTCAAGTACAGTATTATCTTACATTCAACTGGGAGATCATACTGCCTCACAAAAATGAATATAGTGATAAATATGTTTTTTAAATGCAGATATGTATTTTAAATGAAGAATCTCAACCCTGACTTCAATGATTGAGAAATTATCTTCTAAAATCAATACTATATGGTGAAACTGAAGGACTATGAAAAGTAAATTTAATAATTGCATGTAATATATAATTATACTTAACCTCTTTAAAAAAATAGAGTGATTATTTACTCTTTATATATATATATATATATATGACTTTTGTGTGTATGTGATTAATCAATCAATTTTTTCAGAATTAAATCAATTTTTCTTATTGGATTGGATACAGCGAACCAAACTTTTAAGTCTCCTGAAATTCATTATAGTGAGGCTTGACCATATTAGTACATTCCAAGTCATTTTTCAAAGTACACAAAAATGAGAGAAATGTTTTGACATGAATAGAAGATTAAGTTCCTTAACGAAGTTCCTAATAAATATAACTATGAAAGCATGTGTTCTGTGGCTTCATTTTGCAACTAACAATAAGTAGTTTTAAATATGTAATCATCTTTTAAAGTAATTTTCGGACTCAGCAACTCTTTTCAATCAAATGGAATTTTAAAAATTCACATGAATTTAAAATGTTATACACTATTAAAGCATTATACATTATTAAAATTTAACATTATACATTATTAAAAAAATAACTTTTATGTAAAATATATGGAAATAACAATATAAAAACTTATAATCTTATTTTTAAAAGTTAAATACATATCATAAAAAATATCAACAAAAACTACCAACTATGAAAAACATCTTTACGTGTTCAAAAACTTATTACTGATATTAGTTTATTTTTAAACTTTAAACACCTTTGAAAAATATGTTCTCTAAAATGTGCATTTATATGAAAAGTGATTCTAATTATGGAAGTTATGATAAGTGCATTTTTATGATTTTGTACTCTACTCACAAGAACTGTCCTTTCCACCAGCATGCAAGATACGTGTGAAATTACAAATGAAAATAACCAAACACAGGTAATAATCATACAGGCAAACATGCAAAGGTAGAAATATGTTTCATAAGCACTGCCAACAAAACCACCAGTAGAAGAAGAATATGCAGGTCTGCAAGTGTCTTTCAGCAGTTCAAAACTTGCATAGCATATCACCTGTACAAATGAGAGAAAAACTGCATTATATAAAACAAATTCGATTTCACAAATTCAAATCTTGTTTCTGACATTCTTAAAAAAATTTCTCCAAAATTTACTAAAACATTTTATAATCACAAATTTTCCCAGCAGATATAATCAGTAGTTACTTATTTATTCACAGAATTAACAAATAAAAAATTTTCAAACTGAATAATATATAACAAATACCATTTCTGATAAATGCCAGCAATAAAACACATTTCTGTTAATACTATATGCATTTTTCAATCATCTCTCCTTTACCTTAAAGCATATAAGAAAATTAAACAAAAATAATCACCAAGATATTAATAATTAACATACTTATGTCTTCAAGTACTCTTTTAAAATAAACAAAATTTAGCTATTATATTTGAATTTAGAAAGGATATTAACTACCATTTAAACAAATGGAGTTTTGATTTATACCTCATACACAAATGAAAGTGTTGGTTTCAAACTCAAAGCTCACAAATAAGACCAAGTTAATTTTACACATCTCGTGAATTTCAAGTACGAATAAGCAATTCATTATGATTCAATATAAAGAATTAATTAGAAATAAATACATAAGAAAACTTCATTTTAGCTATGATTTCAGATCACATTTTTGTAATTCATTTCAATAACCACTGTTCAATACAGAAGGCTAAATTTTGTTTTCCTATACTTGCATTTCTATACATTTTTGTCATATCTAGGATACGAATAAAAATTTATTCACTATTACTAGAGTAGAAACCCAGAAATCTGCAAAGCTTGGGACCAGAGGTTGTGTGGATTTTAGAATTTTGTGGATTTCAGGACAGAAAAGATAAATCATAATATTCAGACTAAAAGTGCAAAATAAAATAAGGTGTATTAGATACATTTAATTAAATTATTATATACATTATTGCAATAACTTATTATATGCATTAAATTATAACTACATATATAAATTGATTATACAGTCAAAAGTCATTAATCCGGACTCGTCGGGACTTCGGCGATTCCGGATTATCGATTTTTGCGGATTATAGATCATCAGTTTAAATCTGGTAAGATGACATGCAGAAATTATAAAATTAAAATATGAAACCGTAATTTATGAAATGAAGAACAATTATGATCTAAAGGGTATCAAAATTTACAAAAAAAAAGTTTAATATTTATTTGTTTACTTTATTAAACATTTCTTTCAATGCAAATTGTTCAAGTTGCTTTGTTTTATGTGCTAATACTTTTTCTTTAATTCTATATAAACAGACATAATTTCTTGTTCAGTTACAAAGTTCTGCTGTTCAAGTCCTGTAATTGCTGTGCCGAGAATACCGACTAACTTGTCAATCGAAATTTTTTCGTTTTCACTAACCTCTCTGTCACTTTCTTCATGCCTTTATCCATTTTTTGCAGCAATTCCACTTTTTGTTTGGTGGACATCAAAACATACTTTCGCATTGTAGATCCTTTGGGAACTCCAGCATCGGAAATTCTATTTGACATAATCGAAAGTTCAAGCTTACTTTTATAAAATTGCTCTAACAGTCTGCAAAAAAATAATAAGCCGGATCCAATTCAAAGATTAAGGAACAACGCAATCTGCAACATTAACTGAAATAGATAATTAGATAATTTTAGCTTATACCGTCCGTTATACATTAAACGCGCATGCGTAAACGTATTATGCGCTTGCGCACATGCATATGCGCAGCCTTAAAGGTCTTACGTGCATGCGTAAACGCCTATGCCAACGCGATGCATGCGCAGAAAGTTTGTAGCTTTGAGGTCCGGATTATGGGTGTCCAAATTAATGACTTTTAACTGTATTATTCATTGTATTATATATACACAGCATCAAGGTTTGCCGATTTTGCCTCATGCAAAGATTTCCGATTTCAAATTCCGGTGTTAGAATCACTGTTACTGTAAAATTTCAACAGCTTTTCTTTATTTTCTCGTACATCATACACAATCGTATCACAATTCCATACAATTCTGCTATAAACCGAGGAGTAACACCTGTCTCCATCTTTTGCAGAATTTGCACTTTTTGCATTACCGTCAATGCAACGTGCTTATGTTTTTCAATGTTGCAAGCAATAAAATCATAGTGCGTTTCCTATTTGTAAATACATTAAAAAAGGGCTGAAATTTAAAATATTCTTAATTTATCCACAAAATATACAGATTAAAAAAAAGGCAGCACTAAATAATCTTGTGAAATAACAAAGCTCAGAAAACACAACAATGTGAATCATGAACTTGAAAGAAGAGTTGAGTGAATCATTTGCTTTTTTACCTCGATGCAGATTAGAGGGGAAAAAACGGCTGATCTTTAGAATATGGTAACTGGTAGTTTGGCGACATTTTGGAGGCGATAAAGGTTACTACCTGGGACTTCGGTAATAATGTGAGCAGTACTCAGTTCCGATTACGCATTATTTTGTGTGAGGGAAATGAGAGATCATGGGATATGTCATGTGATATTAATGGACGAATTACGGTTCTTTAATCGGAAAAGGGGGGAAATCGGGAAAAAAATCTGGAAATTTTGTATTTGGCTTTATTCTGTGTTGTGTGAAACAGTGTTCGTTAATTTTTGGATCCCATGGCCCTAACTAAAGTGAATTCGAAATGGGTATTTAGTGGGATTGAAAGGGGTAGTAATAAGTGTTTCTTTAAGGTTGTGCGTGATAGAAGTAAAGATGTTTTATTAAGTTATTTATTTTACCTGGTACTTGCTGTGAACTATAAGTATGATTTTAAAGATCCTGAAACAGGCGCACATACGCTTGCTTTTTATTTAGCGGAGGAAATAAGAAAAGTTTATCGGACACGTAATCAAGATTCTGAAGAAGATTAGGTAAGTTAGTATTTTTAATTATTTGAGGATATTATTTTTATGCATTGTTCTAAATGTAAGGTGGAAGTAAAGTAATTTGGTATTATTGGGAAAATTGTTATTAGCAATGATTTAGTTTAAAGTAATTAGGATTGTAAGCTAATTTTTATTAATTTAATGTATGTGCTTATTTATATTTTAAGTAGTGTTTTTGAATTTAATTAAATGATAGCTATTTTGTGAATTTTATGTTTGTAGGAATTTGGTATACGTTTTAGTTGAAGTAAACGTGCATGGAAATAATTTAAATATTTGACACTAAGTATTTGTAATGTTTGCGGTATGAATTCGTTGGTGACGTTTATAATATAATAGATAATTTAGAGGTAAAAGTTTCTGGATATTTTATTTATTTTATACGTGGAAATTTTCATATTTGGAAAGGGTATATACTTTTTCGTTATTAAGTAATTTCATATATGTTCTTTTTAATGGGTTTAAAGATTCAGAAAATTGTCATGTATTTTCGTGAAATTTTTCTAATTTATGAGAAAAAAGGAGTGTACATGGATATGATGAAGAGTGTGCGCAATGCCATTTTTGTGCAATTCTGGGATTTTTTTTTTTAAGTAAAAATAAGTCGACGTGTACATGGTTTAGTGATATTTTAATTAAATGACAGTTATTTTGTGAATTTTATGTTTGTAGGAATTTGTTTACGTTTTAGTTGAAGTAAACGTGCATGGAAATAATTTAAATATTTGACACTAAGTGACGTTTATAATATAATAGATGATTTAGAGGTAAAAGTTTTTGGATATTTTATTTATTTTATATGTGGAAATGTTCATATTTGGAAAGGGTATATACTTTCTCGTGATCAGGTAATTTCATATATGTTCTTTTTACCGGGTTTAAAGATTCAGAAAATTGTCATGTTTTAGTAAAAATAAGTCGATGTGTACATGGTTTATGTGTATGTGTTATTTTGAAAAACGCATAAGGAGTATGGTATTGTGCACTTTTTCCCAATTTTGCAGTGAATATTTGTCATGATTAAGCAGTTTTGTTAGATAAAATTTCTAGCATAAGTGTAATTCGACTAGTAGATTGTTGGAAGAAGTGTACAGTAGATAAAAAGAAAAGAAACATGTCTTTACTTCGTGAAGACAAAATGGCGGCGGGAAAAATAGAGGGTTGCTGTAGGAGAGTTGGTCGCCAAATTTTCGCCAAAAAATCGCAAAGTTACCATAATCTAAAGATCAACCGAAAAAACTTTTATCATGATATCAATAATTTGGTATTTCCATTATGACTCATTATTATTCGGTAATTATGATCTCGTTATTCGGTAAGTACTTTTTCTTTGATACTTCGTACTCAATGTTGCATTTTCCGGAACCTATAAACTGAACGTTTATAGAGTCAAAAGTCTTTAATCCAGATGTCCATAATCCGGACCTCAAAGCTACAAACTTTCTGCACATGCATAAATGCATAATGCGTTTATGCATGCGCATAATATGTTTACGCATATGCGTTTAATGTATAACAGATGGTATAAGCTAAGCTAAAATTATCTATTTCAGTTAATGTAGCAGATTGCGTTGTTCCTTAATCTTCTAATTGGATCTGGCTAATTACTTTTTGCAGACTGTTAGAGCAATTTTATAAAAGTAAGCTTGAACTTTCGATTATGTCAAAAAGAATTTCCGATTCTGGAGCTACGAAAGGATCTATAAAACGAAAGCATGTTTGTATGTCCATCAAACAAAAAGTGGAATTGCTGCAAAAAATGGATAAAGGCATATCCTTTGTTTCTCTAACCATTCCGAAATCTGTTTATCAATTTCAGGATGCTGTGCGGAGTGTGGGGGGACGCGGCGCGCAATGGAAGTTGATCTTTCAGCACTATCCTTATCTTCAGGGCAGATGTTTTTACTTTATTCGGCTTATAATCCTTTACTAAATGTAGTCTTTCATCTCGATGTACTCCGTCTTTGATATGATTTAAATCAAATTAATCGTCATTATAAATATCACGAATACGCATCAAATAGTTTTCTGGTTGCAATTTTCTAATTTTGACTATGTGCAATGTATGCATTATGCATATACGCGTTGAAAGAAATGTTTAATAAAGTAAAAAAAT